GAGGAGGAGGAGGAGGATGAGGAGGAGGAGGAGGAGGAGGAAGAGGAGGAGGAGGACCAGCGAGGGGTCGGTCGGTATATAAGGTATAAGGTAGTCCATTAGCGTTAATATTATAAACGTTAGCTGCCCTCTGGCCATCCCCGTAACATACTCACGTGCGCCTGCGTACCTCTCTTGCCCTTCACCCGCCATCATACAGTCCCTCTGCATACATTCTATCTGCGTTCACCACATACCCACTATCTTCCTTCTACTCTCTGTCTATCGCGGGTGTACACTCGTCTTCCGTTTCTCTCCTTCTCTCCTTTGCCTCTCGATCGCTTGCTCTCTCTATCTCTTTCTCTCGCTGTCTTGCATATATTCCTATTTTTCATGTTCTCTCTCGCATATATGCATCCATCTCTATCCGTCCTCGTCACATCCCCGTCATTCTATCACTCTCCGTTGTAGCAGCGGTTTCCAATGCGCACCTTTTCTATTTCCATCTCTGTTTTGTGTCCGCTTTATCTCTATCTAACTCTTTCTCTCTTTCTCTCTCTCTGTTCCTAGAGCTTCGCTCTCTCTCTCATTCCTGTTCCCTACACTCAGTTATCTCTGTCTCGATATATTCTCCATCTTCTTTCCTCGTAAATTCATTTCGTCTCTTTTCGAGCTGTATTTCCTTCTTCGTCTCTCCATCTCGTAGGAATCCGGTCTGTCTTTCTCGCTCTTGTTTACTCTTCCTCCCTCTTTCGTTCATCGCACTCCAGTTTGCCTCCACCACGCACACATATGCGCGATGCGATACTTCCAACATGTTACACGCACATGGGTAGATAGATACGCACGCACGCACGCACGCAGGCACGCACGAATGTATAATACGAATGTACGCATACATAGGTCTCATGAAGAGTACAAATACAAGTCAATACGAGTGGCTAGTACACGTAAGCGAATGCGATCGAGTAATGCGAATGCATCGTGTATTGTGGCAGATTTGATAGGTTTATATCACAAATCGAGTCTTTGAGAAGCTTGAGAAAATTTGTAAGAAACAAGCAATAAATTTAAAAAAATATATGAATGAAACAACAGACAACTGTATCGAAATGACTCTTCTACGTTATGGTTCTATCTCACTTCTATTATCATATTTCGAATGCTTCATTCACCATTTCAATCTTATCTGCAACGAGTACTGATTACATAGCAATAAAATTAATTATTATATCTATGCTTCCACTATTCAGACATTGTCGAGCGAGAGGTTAATTAGAAGCATAAAATTTGTACATTGAACAGGTTTAGTAAAATGTCGACGAAACCACGAAAGCATCAATAATAATGCATGTTGATGGTCCATTTAGGTATTAACCTCGAGCATAATATTTATCTGCCTGCTCTAAGTAATAAATCCTCTTTGTGATTAATGTATCGAGGATTATTTCAGAAAAAGCGCTGCCTCACGCGCGGCTTCGACATTTTTATAAGCCCAGATTTATTTTATTAATTTTCATTAATATGTATTCAACTATTAATTATGTGTATACATGCAAAATTAATTTTTTCACATTTCAAAGCTGCATTATAAAATATTATATCGAGTCACACAAAATATTGATCGTATAAATATATATTTAAATATATGTATATCTGCCTTATTACTTATTTGTTTGTTGAACGTGTTATCTACGGAAGAGCTCGAAAAGTTATCGATAGGCATCCAGAAAATATACAGCGTCACATGTTTATTGACACTATCTAGCACGATTACTCGTACATTTATCATAATAAACATGATGCAATCGCATAAATTCACATGTTAATGCGATCAACCTATCGGCAGTCTCAATGTTTTCTCGCTATTTTTGTACAAATTATCGTAATCTTCATATTTAATTTCGAATCATTTTCGACTCGATCATTGATAAACAAAAATCTTCGTCTAAACATCCGTCATTATCATGACGGTTTGGGATGGGTAGGTAGAAAACGAAATCGACATGGACTCTCTCTCACGCTAGCAAACGTCTCGTCGGAAAGTGGCAGTTTGCAATTAAACGACGATGTTATCGTAAAGGGCGGCCGGCTCGGTTCAGTGTGTACATGGCAGCGAATTAAAATGTAAATACTTGATTAAAGTTAATCCCGGGCAGGTGAATAAACCTGGTATACAAAGACAGAGAAAGAAATACGGCGATTCTATGGGGTGGTGGCAGCGGAGGAGAGGAGGAAGGGAGGAAGGAAAGCGAGATATCCATAGTGGTCCTAAGGGGTGCTTTTTATTGCCGCTTTTTATTAGCTGAGTAGGTGTACTCCGTTCCGCCGTTGCCCCTCAACTCTACCCCCGAAGC